CAAAGTCGTTGAGTTTTACGTTCAATACAAAAATCACTAAGGAAGATGTATGAGAAGTGGAGTAAAACACATTTTCAAGTATTTTCTACGTCATTTAATATCATCAATTTCTCTTTTATTTGAAACAAATATAAAGCCACGTACGCCGTATTTTTACGTAAAAGCGCGAGGTGACACCGCGAAGGATGACAAACATTTTGCTCGCGCCTGATAAATTAGATCCATTACATCGAATGTGACCCCTTCACAAATGAAAGTAAATGATGCGATAATATTTCTTCATCAGCCTACCAAATTGCAGAGTAGGTACTTTATCGTTATCAGGCTGTGAATGTAGAGTTCGATTCACAAGAACAAAATAATTTTGACATTCCCAGGCTGATTACATTATTTAAACCTAATTGATGCTATCCATTGAGGAAAACGTTTGTATTATTCTTCGGAGAAATCACGTGTGTATCCGACCAAGCTTTCAGGGAAATCTTCAGTTTTTTATCTCTACAGTGAAAAGTAAAGTAACAAGTGAATCTACACGATAGATGTTGAAAAAGAAACTGAAAATCTTTTTCATGATTTCAAATATTCATCAGTTCAACAATGCTATCCACTAATTACTGGCAGTTATTCTTTTACCCCATGGCTACCAGGATAGAAGGTCGGAATGCGGGTTGAGTTATTGCACGTATCGGGCTCGTTGCGTGCGCGCCGCGTCGCCAGCGTCACGCAACTACGTCACGACACGTCGGCCTTTACGTACGGAAATATATTTCAAGCAATGCTCAATAATTTCTCGTACAGGTACTGGCTGATTTGTACCTTTAAATCCTTTTGCGTGTAAATCGTTTTGAACTCGACTTTTATAAATAACTAAGGAGTTGACCCAGTTTCGCACAACTCAATCAAAAGGATGGCAATTATTTAAATTTCACCGTGTGTGTGTGTGTGAAACAAATAAAAAGTATTTTATTAATAACATTGTAAGAAAATAATTATAGCAACAATGAGGTGATTGTTATTGCTCTGATTGGCGACGAGGTTCATTAAAAGTAATAAAAATAAAAAAGTCCCTAAAACAGACAAAGATTTTTGTATTTAAAAAATACTGAAAAGACTGCCCTTATTGCCTGCTTTCAAATCTGCTGATAAGCGCGATTCAATTTGGTTACTTCAATTACGAAATTAGCTGCTACGAGCGATTCACCGTAGTTGCTACGAGACTACGAACGCGAGATTAAGCAGTCAGCGAAGCTTAAAATAACGGCGTTGGTCTAGTTGCGTACAAAGCCCAACATTTTTATATTAAAGGTATTATTATCCTGAACCTAGTAGTGGGTGTGCCATAATCAGATTGCGGCAGTCGTATAGCTTCACTGTGACTTTGGCCGCTCCCATCACACAAATTGCCTCAGTCCATATGAACTTTCACGGTCTATTTAATTAATCTCACTCCGAGTGAATTACCTCGGCTTTTAATTGAGGTTAAATACTTAGCGAGTGATTACGAAAACAACAACAAGCTTTTATAACGTGCTAATTGAATTAGCGCCATTCGATAAATGGTAATGATCTTTAAATAGAATTCCGAACTTGTTGTAAGAGAGACGAGGCTCTCAAGGTCGTATAAAAATAATCGCCATTCAAACTCACCTTATTATTTCATTTTGCGCGTAAGCCCGGCGCACCGCATGTCGCTGGCCGGCGCAACAGAGGCTACGTTTTTCACATATCTCGATGAGTCGGGCGGGGGGCACACGTGGCACGAGCACTGCACTTGCAACCGGCTCGATGCGAGCGTCTTGTCGAGCGGCCGTCGCGTGTTATTGTTGTGCTCGGCAGAGCGGCGAGGCGTGCGGCGCGGGCGAGCGCGGCGAGCATACGAGGCTCGGGCGGGCGGCGCGCGGCTGCGCAGGCTCCCGCGCGCTCGCTCGATACACTCGGCCATGAAAATTTCAGCCGAGCCACTGTCAACCGGTGGCGGCACGCAGGTGGCGCGCGCCACCGCTCTCTGCGCTCGCATACCTGTCGTAAAAACTCGACACTACACCGCGCGTACTGCCAAAATCACCATTCATATCCAGCTGTTCGTGTTCGTCGCTTGCCAATTTTCATTTAGCAATACAATTTGTTGCCATAGCTCACTATCGTTTGGAGCAACACTTGGTAAGGATTAGCAAGAACGCTTTAGCGCTTGTAGGCTGAAATTAACTCTTAAAACTAATGGTTATTTCTCTATTAGTATGTTTACTGATCGGGCTCAGCGATCAGCGATAATACTCTATTCTACATGTTCCAAAGTCAGTGTGTTCCAATCATTAACATGTGGTACCTGAACATTCATTTAATTTAATGTCCTGTAATTTACCCATACAATGATGGAGAAAAATAACTCGTATGGATTTCTGTGGGGGCGAAGATATCGGACGCGATATTAGCCGTCGTACATTATTATACATACATATAATGCATGTATTTTTCAAATGTGCGTGGCTTGATACCTACCTTTCATGACTCTATATTTCAACCTACATCCTAGTAGTGGTACCTATATCACAGTAATAAATATTACCTACATAAATTTTAACTCTAAAATAATTCTATCTTTTTAAGGATCAAACGCAAAGTTAATGGATTTTGACGTAGGTACCTACATATTACATAATATCTTTTCACCAAAATCGATATTGATAATTATTGGTAAAGGATATACGTTTCCAAAAAAAATAAGGGGAAATGTGGTCTGAATAATTTGAATCTACATGAGAATTATTTTTATTTTTTGGTAATAAAGTAGGTTACAGATTCTTCAGAAATGTCCAAAAAACTCACAGCAAGTTACTAAAGAGCATGATTTTATTAAACAGTGTATAAATTCCTTTTTTAGGAATTCGCTGCCTGCTGCTTTTCTTCCCAAGCACTATAATCCGAGCCTCTTCAAAGCGAGACTGAATAGGCTTACAGGCAGGTATCTATCCTCATCCTAGACTGGTATGACTGCAGTCAAATACCTTCGCCTTATCCTGCATAAATAATAACCATAACTTTAAAAACTAAACTCTCTAACCCCTCTATGCTCACAATTAGCAACCGTAGGCTGACACAGTGTTGGCAGGACCATAGTCTCTTTCTCTATGGCTGGTATTACGGTGCGCTACTTTCCTTACCCTTTGCAACCCGATTGTACGGTCTATTCTACTTTGATCACCTGGCTTTGTTTGTTCACCCAGGTGATCTTCCAGCGACAATTTAGTGTCCTTTGATCACCCACAGATAAGATGAGCTGGGTGATCAAAGCCAGGTGATCAAAGTGGAATAGACCGATTGTACGACGAACATAATTATCATATCAAGGCAAGTACAGGGCATCTTATACAGAAAGAAAGAAAGAAAGAAAGAAAATACATTTATTTGGCACACTAGAACAACAAATTACAGAAATATTAATACGATAAAAAAATTAATTTAAAAATTATGCCAAATAGGCTTCCACTCAGCATAATGCCGCAGTGCGTAGCACCACGACGCTGGTTTTCAGTGGTCGCCTGATTGTAGTGGTGGAGAGGCGCAGGTAAACATTAAAAAAACAATACGCAACTGAGCAACGGTGACACATACACATTTTGGCATAAGTTTAAGTAAGACAGAAACANCATTTCAGCCGAGCCACTGTCAACCGGTGGCGGCACGCAGGAGGCGCGCGCCACCGCTCTCTGCGCTCGCATACCTGTCGTAAAAACTCGACACTACACCGCGCGTACTGCCAAAATCACCATTCATATCCAGCTGTTCGTGTTCGTCGCTTGCCAATTTTCATTTAGCAATACAATTTGTTGCCTTAGCTCACTATCGTTTGGAGCAACACTTGGTAAGGATTAGCAAGAACGCTTTAGCGCTTGTGGGCTGAAATTAACTCGTAAAACTAATGGTTATTTCTCTATTAGTATGTTTACTGATCGGGCTCAGCGTATCTGATAATACTCTATTTTCTGTGGGGGCGAAGATATCGGACGCGATATTAGCCGTCGTACATTATAGGGTCTATATTACCTGCATTTTTAAGGATCAAACGCAAAGTTGATGGATGAATAGGCTTACAGGTACCTATCCTCATCCTAGACTGGTATGACTGCAGTCAAATACCTTTGCCTTATCCTGCATAAAAAATAACCATAACTTTAAAAACTAAACTCCCTAACTCTCCTATGCTCACAATTAGCAACCGTAGGCTGACACAGTATTGGCAGGACCATAGCTCTTTCTCTATGGCTGGTATTACGGTGCGCTACTATCCTTACCTACCCTTTGCATCCCGATTGTACGGTCTATTCTACTTTGATCACCTGGCTTTGTTCACCCAGGTGATCTTCCAGCGACAATTTAGTGTCCTTTGATCACCCACGGATAAGATGACCTGGGTGATCAAAGCCAGGTGATCAATGTGGAATAGACCGATTATAGGACGAACATAATTTATCATATCAAGGCAAGTACTAGGGCATCTTATACAGCTGTAACAGAAGCTATTTTATTGCAAAAATGTGTAACGTAGTCTGATGTGCTTTCTAACGGAGGTCTCGGTCACTGATAAGATTGCCTCGAAAGGCTCTCTCGTGGGGTTATATGGGGCTTGTGGAGGTGCGTGATTGTTCCTATGTATAAGCTGAATGGGAGAAACCGAGAAGACAGTCCTTTCTTCTTAAGGAGGATTGGCTTAAGCCAAGGGCCATTTGAAACGAGCTACGGACAGAACACTGGCTAATGATGCCCATAGCCTTTATAAAAAAATACTTTCTTCATAGCACCATGAACCATATTGGCACTATGAGGTTTCTAGTAGATAAGGCATTTATTACGGGTATTCGCTAGAGAATTCTCCACACGAAAAAAATTAAGTCCGCTCCTTAATAACGTCATATTACTTACTATCAAAAGTTTATTGGTTCACTCTTGTTATTATTACACTAAAGTAATAATTTATATTATAAAAATGAAATAATATAATATAAGGGGTATCATTAACGTTTATTACACAGTTATAAACATGTTACGGACGTAGGTGGAAAACTACAAAATTACAAATAATTAGGTACAAAGTATTTACAGACAATAGTTAATGAATGAGTCATGCATCGGGCAGGTAACATACAAATATACATACACAAACAAATAGGTGTACACATTTAAACAGTAAATCCGAAAAAATAAGAAATTTCTAATATGTATACTTAAATGATAATATGATAATAAATAAATGTTTAACTCAGCCTTAATGCAAAAAGTCCTGCTAATTAGATTAAAAAATATCCAAAATATAAAAAAAAAAACAAATAATATCTAATTATTTCCTTTGAGTAAGTTTTAAATATGATCGATTATTATATTTAATAATACTAAATTAATCAACTTTCTTGGAAAGTACACAATATAAAGTTCATAAATACAAAAATATTTAATAAATTGTTCTAGTACAATAAACTTTGCTATATTTTATTATGACAATTTTAATACAATACACATACAAATAGTCTCATTTCAACATTATTATACCTTTTGCCAATACACGATCCAATTAGAATGAAAAAAAAATAAATGCCTCGGAAAATTTCGCTGAATAAATTTAATATCAGTTATATAAATTGGCTACCTACTATTGCTTGCAACTAATGAAGATTGGTTTCTTTGCAACTTTCTACTAAACTGAAAAAATGGACGAAAATATTTATTTTCAGTATTTGTTAGGTTATTAATGTTATGATTATACATTAATGAAATTCGGTTTTCCAACATTTTACTAATTTAAAGCTACTATTATATTGTTGTATAAGAGAGACAGCACCTTACTACAAGACATAACAATCTGCCTTTGGCTCAGTATCGTTTTAGATTTATGAGATTCTTTATATACACAATTTTCTTATATACAAACATGTTGTCACATCTAAGAGTATACATAGGCGACTAAACAACAATGACGGTTTAATTCTATAAGGTGGCATGGTATTACTTTATTATTTACATCAGTTATCAATATAAACACTTCAAAATGCACTATACAAGTACACTATGAACACAGACATTGAACAGTTCTTGCGAATAGTCACAATGAGTATACAAATTCACACAAGGAGTATAATAAATACCAAAGGAACTCGAAAGATTTGTACAAGATCACAGGAATGCTACCCCGGATTGTATTGGGTTTGGCCCTTTTATGTAACTCCAGATATACAGTCGTATCTAACTCAACACTTTTCACACATTTACAATTACCATCAGTTTCTGAGCTCAGTGGCAAAAATTAACAGCTTAATACATCAACATGCATGCATACACAGGCAGAAAAGAAATTCTTCTTTGAAGGCGTTAGAGCTCAGCTGGTGTTGGTGACAGCCAGTCATAAAAATTAACTATGATGACGTGCTATGACTGACTAAACTTTGACAAGTTGTCACGACATCCACCGAACTCAGAAACTAGAGGTCCCGAATGTATCACGTAGCTACCAATACACACAACACCTTATTTTCGTTATATTCAGTCAGAGTATATGACTTCCAACCTGCCCATAAAAAGCTTCTGTGTAAAGGGACATTTGGGTTTGTGCGCCTGTGTCTAAAGGTAATCGAACATTTGTCAATATCACGTGTTGCACTTAGTTCGGTATAGTTCAAAAACACACAAAAAGACGCGCCTCGATTATCTGATATCCACTGGACGAAGCGATGAGTATAGCAGAAAAGTAGTCCACAAGGTCACTCGATATTATTTTTTATTGTATGTGGCCAGTCAACAGACAAGATCACTTGATGTTATTTTTTATTACATGTGGCCAGTGCATAGACAATATTACATTACTTGATGTTTTTCTTTTTTATTCTATGTGGCCAGCTCGATGTTCGAAAGCACTTCACGTGTGCGAAGAACGCCACAGAGGACGCAGTCACGGGCGCTTGCGCGCGCGGCCGTTGGCCACGGGCTCGGGCTGCGGCTTGCGCGGGCGCAGGATGAAGTTCAGGTTGTACGCGGTGTTCACTGCGTAGTACACGTTTGCGTTCGCCGGTAGCACCATTTCTGGAAAAGGTAGAAATTGGTAGTTTATAAATACAGTTGAATAGCTTAGTTACTGGAAATCCAGAACGGGTTCATGTTCAGTCTACTCTTCTAGTCTATTTTTCAGTTTCAGAGTGGATCTACAAATATCTTAGTTACTATTTAATTTCACTCATTTGCGCGCCATCTCGATTATAATGCTGTAGCAAAGACTATACTATTTTAATCAAAAATTTATTAACTATTTTTACTAACCTCTATCGGGCAAAACTTGTGCTAAAGTGTATCCATCTGGATCGCCGTCGAGATTAAGTTTCAGCATCGCGTTGCGGATGACCTGCGGCGTGCGCTCGTTGTTGCACAGCATGATGGACTTGTACAGCACCACGCCCTCGGTCTCCACGCAATCTGACTCGTATGTGACGCGGATGATGTAGAAGTCAGGCCCCGTGCGCGTAGCGTGCGCCGGGCTTGCGCCACCCGCTTTCCCGTTGGCCTTCTGCCCGCTGTTGGCGCTCGATAGTGACACATCCAGCGACGGCAGCGACGACGACGATGAGCCGTGCGACAGCCGCGTCGGCGACGTGCGCCGCTCCAAACTATCCCGCTTCCACGCGTTGCCCGCCCCGTCCGTCTCGCAGTAGAACTGAGACGAGTTACTCGAACTCGTGCTGGCTATCGAATCGTTCTTCCTGTGACCTTGATTGTTGTTGTCGTTCATCTTCTTCGGCCGCCTGTCCTTCGGCGGATTAGTCGGCGGCTCGATCTGACACGAGAGCTGGTACGCCTCCCGGTCGTCGAGCACTATCACCGAGTCGAACCATCTGTCGAACATCGGATCGGTCGGCAAATGATACGCGTTGGCGGCGCCCTGCAACAGTTTTATTTGCGCCAGCACCTCGAATTCTTTTCTTCGTTTGTCGAAATTGATCAGACCATCCGCCACTGTATCGGGTATGGCGGTGTCGATCATCGTGAGATCCGTTAAAAACGTCCCCAGATACGGAATCGTTCCGTGACTCACGCCGGGCGAGCCCCTCTCATGGAGTAACTTCTGAAGCTGTCTATCGTTCTCGCCCACCGTATCGGCAAACTTGGCGGTGCCCTCTCGCATCAACAACTCCCTCTGAGCCCAACGATTGTTGTCTTCGCTAAATATTCGCGCCAACTCATCGTACAGTTCGGCCTTCTCCTTCTGAAGGAGAGCCCACGTTTTCCTGAGTCGGTACACCGGGTTACTCTGTAATCCGGAGATGATCGCTTTGAGCGAGGAAAAGTTTTTGAGGACTCTCAGCTCGCGGGCTATATCGAGCCAGGCGGCTAAGATATCGGCGCGCTCGAGAGGCCTGAGGTTGGGCTCGACGAGGACGGTCGATATGACGCGAAAGGAGACCGCGTTGAACTGGTTGACGGTGGCCAGCACCGTGGCGGCGTCGTGGGAGCGGTCCTTGTCGCGGCGGGACCAGACGGCGCCGAGGCACTGGTGCGGCACGAGCTTCTTGAACAGCTCCATGTCCATGCGCGTGAGCTGCTCGGCGAAGTGTCGGTGGGGCACGTGCGGCAGGCGGTAGGCGCTGGTGTGGTGCGCCGCCAGCCGCATGCCGGGCGCCAGGCACACGCTGCCGCCCGCGCCGGACCCGTTGCGTTCTGCACTGAATACTGCTAACTTCTGTAACACCTACAAATAAAATCAAGTCAAAATTTTGTGAAATTGTTACTCGAAAGTATTAAATAAAAATAGGTTATTTTAATTTGGGCCATATTGGCCAAGACAAAATAAGAAAGAGTTAAATTAAACTATCATTATTTTTACTGACCTTCGAATGAAGCTCCGATCCTGGCAAATGAAGCTGGGTGAAGGCGAGTAGCTGTTGCAGTGCAGGGTGGTGCGGTGGTTGACGAAAGTCCTCCGGGTAGGTGTCCAGCCACACGTGGAGACATGCCACCAGAGTCCTGGAATGTATATTACTCTATGAAATCCCAGTTAGGTTTTAGAAATAACGTTAGATCTTTGTTCACAAATCAAAAAGATGACAAAATCGCTTTGTCATTATGGATAGATAGTAACATGAATAATAATGTATTGTTAGTCATGTTATCTCCACGTTCTTTTAACGATTAAATGATCAATAACTAAATACCGACCAATCAGATGTCGATGGTATTTGAACATCACTGCAGATTTAGACTACATAGTGACTCCTTGACAAACTTAGAACACGCGCTACACAACAGTTTGCTGTATCAACGATTAAATTCTATTTGCATTTCCATTGATTAAAAATAGTCTAGCATGCTATTCTTAAAAGAAGGCTGAATCAATATTTTCAAAAATACTTTCTTCAATACAGATATTTCAAAGGTAAGTTAGTAGGTAATATTTACTTTCTATGTTGTTGTGAGGTGTCGACCGCGGCGGGGACCACGTCCTCGGCAGCCAAGGCTTCATATCGTCGCAGCAAGAGATCCAGCACTCGACTGCATTCCGCAAATGAACTGCAATTGAATAGACCAGTCGTTAGATTAATTAAAGGGAATATTATTTATGTAGTGGTAAAACAATCAGGAGCGACCTCGCATTGACCAAAGGGTCAATTAGGAGTTAGAGGCCATCAATATGCGGAGTTGTGGGATCGAGTCAAGGGTAAGGTTGTGTATCTGCGAAGGTTATGTAGCATAACTGGGTGGTTAGCTATGATAAAGTTCGTCACTGTAATGACTGTACATGCTTTATTACAGATACAGATATAGGCAGATAAGTGCTCGCAATCAAACTCGATGTTAAGTTTAGTAATTACAGTTTAAGATGTATAGCACAGAGTAGGTACCTACTTTACCGCTAAGTGCTTATTCACTCTGATAGCCTTGTTAGATTAATGGAAAACCTACATCAGCATTCATTGACATACAATAAGCGCTCAATGAAGTACTTATTTCATTCCATATTAAAAATACACGATACTTCTACAAGGTTTAGGATCTTTGGTTATAAGGAAGGAAAATTGTATTTAGTAATTTTACTCATCGTTTTGTCGTAAATATGCCAGAATTAGTGGTTTGACCAATCCTAAAGTAGAGTACCTGAAAGTTAGTCCTCTAACGACAACCACGGGAAGTGTGGCGGAGGTCCTATCCTAATCTCTACGGTGCCCACCTTCACAAAGCGCTCGCGCTCCGTCTCCCACTCAAGGTGTATTTTGTATAGATGTATAATGTACCTGTATGTGGCGAGGAACACGTTGACGTAGGTGGACTCGAGCTCGCCGTCGTCGGTGGCGAGCGCCTCCACCAGCCGCTCTACGGTGCCCACCTTACGAAGCGCATGCGTACTCTCTCTCACTCAAGGTGCGATATACTTATAGTATAGTATAGTGTACCGGTATGTGGCGAGGAACACGTTGACGTAGGTGGACTCGAGCTCGCCGTCGTCGGTGGCGAGCGCCTCCACCAGCCGCTCTACGGTGCCCGCCTTCACGAAGCGCACGCGCACCGTCTCCCACTCGAGGTGCGATATTTCATCGTCTGATTCCTGTAACATAAGTTATATCATCATCATCAACAGGTCATTTAGTCTCTACTGCAGGAAAACACCCATGTCCAATTTACCAGGGGCAAGGAGGGATTTGATAAGTAGATTCTGTGTTATATTATACAAAAATATTATAAATCAATCACCCCATGGGTTGTACTCGTAAGTAAGTGATCACTTGCTTGCGATATAGTTGCCTAAATTGTGCCTTTTTTGTCTGTTTCGTGTGGTGTGTAATACAGACTAAGTACTAAGTATACCTATAAAGATAGAGACAAACTCGTAGCATCACGTTTCTCCGAACCCAAGAAAACTAATTAGCTCACACGTGCAACAAGTAATAATGACATATCAACTCACTAGTCGCCCTTTCTACCATACCATCCGGCTCAGGTAAATTGTTGAATTTATTTTGATGGTTTGATCGATATGTCTTTCGACAAATAGCTACCTACTCGTGCGTACGTAATACCTTAGTAATACATGCTGTTATTTTCAAAACACTACAATTTATTCATCTCGTAAGTCAAAGTATATTTAAAGTGTTCACCCTTAATAATGGCATAGAAGGATAAAGAGCACAATACAAAGATTCTAAATTCTACGGAATAAATAAATTATTCATAAGCTCAAATTTTGCCTTTCAAATAAAGGATTTAACCCCTATTATAGTCTACTAAACCTGCATATAATTTACATAAAAAGTGTTATAACGTTGTACTTCAGCAAGCATCAATAACTCAGTTGTTTTGTTGGCAAACCAATCCAAAGCCACATTTATTTATAGTTAGTTAATAATATACTTATTTAAATCATTACTTTGATTCTATCAGTAAGATACTAAAAGCTTTACGTACTTAAATTACAATATCTATATCAATTAAATGCGTTTGTTGTTTTTTACTTAATTTATTGAATGTCTACAATATTTTAATAGTCACTTACATTTTGTTGTTGTTGCATTGCAAAATAGAAAATTTTATTCCACAGAACATTAGTCATTATCCACACGAACGCATCGTACTCTCACATCTCATTACTCTTTTTGTAAACAATCTTGAACATTTTACATAATCGTATCTCTACTACGCCCAGTTGTAATTTAGTTTCACAAATGACCAGTGACCATGACGCACATGAAACAGTTTAACTATTGTATAAATTGTATTACTCATAAATGCGAAATGTTATCAGTACGAAAATAATACAACCGCCACCAGCATTCTGATTCTGGGAATTACTTAAACTTGCGCAAATAATATTATAAAAAAAACGATGAAGTTATTATAGTTGCTTTTAATATTCGATTACTCATTATAGAAAAATAATAAATAAAGAACTACATGTTTACTGTATAAAGTCAAATTAAAATTATTGCTAAACTGTTTAAGTTACATTGTGTGTTATTACGTTTTAATGGCGTAAGTAAATAAGATTTTTAAGATTCTTCAAACAATTATTCAAAAGGTTCAAGTCTATTCAAGAGATAATAACATAATGCTCCTTTTTACATGCGTACGTAATTACTAATTACGTACTTATGTATTTCGTACAAAAAATAACTTGGAAAATCACATCTAAAATGTAACAAAAATAACATTGGGGTAATTATTTTTATATTCTTGCTAATTGATTACTGATGATGACTGATTCCTCTAACAAGGTAGACGATCACAGTCATTTGCAACCAGTATATCGAAGTAGCATTACATGAAAAATATGTGTTATGCACGTAAAGAAAATAATTTAAGTTAGTGGCTTTATAGATGTATCGTGAAAAATGTTAGTCAACAAAAGTCTTACATTACAGTCAGGCGCATGACGACACGGTTCATAATAAACCTTTGTACAGCTCTGTTAGCGGTTTGTGTTATCATGACATGCAAATCAGACTATGTCGTACTTCACAGGCAATAAAGCAGGAAAAAATAGAAATATGTAGAGCGTACGAATTACGAAAGACCAGCAAAATTTGTAATGTATTTAACTATACAATATACTTAATGCTAAATTGAAAGTTTCATGATTTAGTTATTCTTTACTTGGCCTTTTACAATATATTTAACTTTATATATGGCACAACTTGAATATTTTATATTATTACTTAGGTACTGATTGTAAGCTAAACTCTATCCATTTTTTTGTCATACAAAATAAAAACATACATAGGTACGTACGTATTTATTCAAAATCAAAAAAATCAAAATCAAAAGTATTTATTCAGTTTAGACCACAAGTGGCACTTATGAACGTCAAAATTATTATAGAAAATAATAAAAAAGAAAAGTTAGCCCTTATGGGGCACTTTACATGTCTCCTTATCTTTTGGGCCCTACCAGTATTTACTATTTGTGTAGGTAACTCGTTTCTTAAATCCCATCCCAACTAATATTATAAATGCGAAAGTAACTCTGTCTGTCTGTCTGTCTGTCTGTCTGTCTGTTACGCTTTCCCGCTTAAACCTCGCAACCGATTTTGATGAAATTTGGCATAGAGATAGTTTGAGTCCCGGGAAAGAACATAGGATAGTTTTTATCCCGGTTTTTGAAACAGGGACGCGCGCGATAAAGTTTTTCTGTGACAGACAAAATTCCACGCGGGCGAAGCCGCGGGCGGAAAGCTAGTATTTTATATTATTACTTAGGTACTGATTGTAAGCTAAACTCTATCCATTTTTTTGTCATACAAAATAAAAACATACATAGGTACGTACGTATTTATACATACATAGGTAGCTCGTTTCTTAAATAACTTCATATTAATACTTAAAACCTCCCCAACCCGTCTGACCAGCGTGGGGAGTGTAGGCCAAATCCTTCATTTGCTGGTAAATTAGAGAGGGTCGTGCTCCTGCAGTGGAGACTAAATGACCGATGATGATGAATACTTAAAATCAATTGATGATATCACAATGTTGATCGTCGTTTCCCATTATAATGAAAAATCTAAATTGAAATATTATGAAGCTATTACTTTATAGTCCATTACAATCATTCCGTAGATGACTAATACCTATTTCATACATATTATTACGATCATAAAAGTGTTAATTACACATATGATATATTATATTTAATGAATTGTTGCTTAAAAAGTCGGTTAAAATAGTTACCTACTTATTGCTGATTGAAAAAAGTCAAGTATCGTATATTACTTAAAATAACTGTGCACATATGAAAATAGGTGAAACTAGACCTATATTTATCGACAAAAAAGGTCAAATAAAATCTGAGTTTTTTTTTTAATTTTTCATATATTTTTTTTATCTTTCAATTTCTTATTGTAAAGAAAACGTAATAACTTTTAAACTAAGAGGTATATCATGATAAAATAAAAACAGTAATAATGCTAAATAACAGGCAATACTAAAAAATACATAAAATGCCCAGAAAACTTTATCAAGACTCACACTGTATAATAAAACGATAAGTTGTACAGTATATAATACTCGACGCCTTTTCAATTACATTTACTATCACATAACAAAACTAACGAATCAAATCAGCTACCGGCAAAAAATCACTGTTTGAATAATGATTTATGTAACACAACAATGAAGTTCCTTACTGCGATACAATGACGATTTAATTGGTATGTTGTCACATATTTATCAAAACAAGTGCGCAAGTAAAATAAATAACATAATTGAGTAGTTAGATTTATTTAATTAGGTATTAACGTAATTCTGACGCAGGTAATGAAACAATGCATTTGTAGCATGGTGGTTATAAATCGGTATAATCAGGAACGTTAATAACACGCGACATGCAACGTCTCCATGGCTTGCAATAATTCCCTCAAGCACAGAATACGTTATTTAGTAGCTGCCGCAAACTAAATACGTAACATATTATACAATAATTCACAAAATGTAGAGACACTATTTATTGCATGACAAAATATTTTATAATAAAAACACGTTACCTATTGTAGTTTAATATATTTTGGCGTTAGATACATTCTATCGAACTCTTTTTGATTCCTGTAATGAATTAATGAGGACAGCTGAAAAATATATGTCCGTTAATATCTATTGCCTATAATACTGGCTTTCAGTTTCAGTAATATGTATATATATTTCACAAGCGTAGCGTCTAAAAAACCAAAACGATCCTATTATACAAGTCTTCGTAAGTCATATTGTAACAACAAATGCCCAGTTTAACTTGCTTTAAGACAAATTACGATTACATTACCTACTTGAACATGAAAAGTTTTCATAAAATTATATCTGAAAATGCATGAAATTGCAATATTAACCCCACTGGTCCGAAAGGGAAAATGATATAAGTGATGCTTTCTCTAGCAGAACTGCGGGACGTACCTACTCACTAAAATCTAATGGTGTCCTTCAAAGCATCTGAACTACGATTTAGTGTCCAAGACCTATTATTTCGCAGCATGCCTAGTTGAATGATTATTTATTTAGTAATTCGTCGGCCGTTTGATGTAGTGGTTCAAAAACGGACTACTATGCCGAGAGGTCCCGGGTTCGATTCCCGGCCGGGCAGAAATTGAAGTGATGAATTTTAATTTCTGCGACGGGTCTGGGTGTTATATGTTGTATGTATAATATGTTTATGTATGTATTTAAAAAAAAGTAGTATATCCGTTAAGGTAGCACCCATGACACAAGCATATTAACAAGCATATTAATACTCACACTAGATGCGCTCCTTGTAGGCCGGTGGTAGCGGACCTTCTTCAGGTAGACGGTGTAGACGGCTCCGTCCACGCGCTCCTCGCCCCACAACCGCCATGTCGGCTGCTGGAACACACCACCACCAGGTCAACACAACTGTCCAATAGTCAACAACACGTAGGTAGAGTCGGAAAAACATAAATTATAGTTCTTGCAACTCACGAAGGCCAGTGAGCTTTACTTGTGTGTGTACGTGTACAAGCACATAACGATAGTGGAATGTCTATCAAAACTTTTGAAAAACAAACAGGAGCCACCACACATGTAAAGCTCACTCGCCTTCGTGAATTGCAACAACTATAATATTGATTAATAATAGCGGTTGTATTAGGTATAGCACATCACACACAGTGAGGATATGCACATAACCAATAAATTAATAGATATGTGTATAATAGAGGTACACAAGTAAATATCAGATAGTTATTCCTCATATAGGTAGATAATTCATTTCTTAACTTTATTTATTTATTTAATGATAACACCGTTCATTTAATTAACCAATAAATATCAATTATACAAAATGTTTGATCGTTACCCTGAAAACGTAATTTATTATGATTGAATTGTTCTAGATGTGACGTCATAAGATCTTATCAATATCTCCTTTGAAACATCTAATAAAAATAATTACATTAATTAGTTGTGCCAAACCAATTAATTCTATTTTCAGCCCAAAGCGACGCAAGATTTGGCGAAGGGAACATAAATCTATATTTAATTATTCTTGAAAATCTACTTGTATATGTATATTTATTAATGTCTAAGTTATATAAGAAAAAATATATATTCATATTAATTTAATGCTAATTCGGGGGTGACATGATTTTCCACATCTAAATATTGTAGTAGAGACGCATGATCGATTAGGTGTAATGTCAATCTAAGAGTAGCATGTTACATTTTACTCGTAAACCTTAGGTATTTGTATCATAGGTATAGAGATAGATCGCCCAAGCCCAAGTATAATGTATGTAGAATTATATTAGACTACTTTTTGTCACAACAACCTTGAAGAACTTATAGGGGATGGATAGAGCTCCGCATTTCTCAAGTTACGGATAAGAAAATTCATATGCCTTTATGATAAAAATAAAAATGGTGTTCCAGCATTTTTAATATGATGTGAATACGAACTTTCTAAGAACATATTATACGTTTGTTTTTATTTACTTGCCTAGTCATAAGCCATTTTAAATTGAATTAAAAATCTATTAAACAAAATGATTAATGATATCAGCTACTATGAGTAATTAGTTTTGATTGAGTCATTAACCTGAATTTTATCAAGTGATTACTAAAATCAGCTGTTTTTGATAGAGCAGATACACTGAGGCCGGGTAACGGGTTACATCACTGTTACGATAACATTGTCTGCTGATAACGCTGACTCGCTTAGTTGTTGTTAGACACGTCGCGTCGCAGTCTCAATGCGAGCTGCACTTACGTAATCATCATCAACGTTATCGCCGAAGAGCACCGGCTCGGCCTTACTGACGCCGCAGATCCTCCACATGGCCCATGTCGACGTCACGAGCGACGTCAGCTCAGCTGAGCGGCATCATGCGCCCGCGCACTTTCACTGCCGGCCGCACCGCACCGCGCACACCAGAACATGCAAATCCAATGATTTTGTAATAGGCTATTTGACTTGATTCTAAAAACCACCCTAGATTACTCTGCTTCTCGTGTTTATTCTTCTCCCGCCAAGAGTTGTTTTTGATTAAGATATCCAATCGAAAATTCACTGTCTATATGGAGTCAAAACTCTATCTTGAGCAATATAGCCTCATGCTGGCATATGATGAAAAAAATGGCATTAGAACACAAATGTTAAAGCTTATGAAATTCTGGTAGCTTTAGCTAATTTAGAGCTTTTACAATAGGTAAATTTATCTAAAAGAGTGCACTAAATAAAACTGTTGTTTATTTTCATCAGTTTTCTTTTTATTTACATTAATGAAATGCCCTAAAAGAACTCATATTTTAGGTAAATGTCTGTTCTTACATTGTTTGTAAGTTGTCAAATAGCCTATTGAATCAATCAACGGCGAGAGGATTGCGAGTATGCGAGCCGGCCGGACGTGCGTGACGCGGAGAAATCGCGCGCTCGGACACTGGCACACTTGCGGTAGTATCCGGCTCGAACGACTCCTCCGACGATTAACCGACTCGCTGACAGACAGAAAAAGACATCGCGCCAAATCACTCCTATCTCACTACGATTCACTACTATTTGCAAACGATTAGCGATTTCTAGCATCAATTAACCGTGGTCAATTAACCTCCGCGCTATCGATAGTCACCTTTTCACTTGTTATGAAACTGAATTTTGCATACTACATGAATAAACTAACGATCAATTCACTATCACAACTTTCACAGCAACGCAAACGCCGTTACCGTTCACCTCCGAATGTTATTTTCTGATTGCTGTTTGTAATAGCATGGGAAAATGTTAGTGTTATTTAGATGCGCTGATGCAGCGGCGCGGACGCAGCTCGACTGCTCTCTCGCGGAGAGATCGCGTGAAAAACTCCGATAAAGCACGTCAATGACGGCTCGGTGTGCACGGCCATTGTGGAGCGCAGGTGTAACTTCATAACACCACACGTGCCTGTGTGCGTGGGCCGTGTAATGAGCTTATTTACAAGCAAATATTTATACACATAAATATAATCCGAAACAATAATTCACATTTCGTTAACTAATTCGTGAAATCACTAATCAGGAGACAGCAAAACAAACAACATCTCTGCTGCTGATGTGACCAGATACCATGAAAATAAAGCTTCGATCCGAATTTGAAGTAGTCATGGCTCACTTCAGCAGTTCTACATGCTCTAAATACGCCTGTAAATACTAAATTGTTACAAATGTTGTCGGCATGTGTTCCAATTCCAAATTACGGTCATTTGTTCCCGGAGGAGCCTAATATACATAATGAAATGCGTTTTCCGCTCCCACCACTCGGAGGAAATTAATACTTAGCTGGTGTTTACTGAATCGACTTCATGAAAATGATAATTTGAACTTGTCAAATTTCATCATTAAGGTGAAAATGCATTTTTTAACTAAATACAATATTTTATTACCTACACCTACATAAATATGTATTTAAGTATTGCATACCTAAAGCAAAGAAAGTAGAGCAATACTTGATAGGAAATAAAATAAAAATATATTATTGAAACGTACTATTGTTTTATTCTAGCTTACGGTGTGTTTGTAAGCGTATTAAGTAATTTTCCAGCAGTGTCTTTAAATATTTTAATGCAGAAGATGTAACAGAAGTATCAAGGTACAAATTAAAAGACGTACGGTGTAGCACATTAAGTAACATGCGCCCGCGCACGTAATGGAGCGATTAATGCAGCTGTCCACTTGACTACAACTGACAGCTGGAATGATTGAGGTGGCGAACTGAAACCCTTTAGTAACCCAATATTTTATAAAAACTTATAACTTCATAATATTATAAACACAAGTAAGGATGGATAAAATATATATTTTCATTGAGATGTCTACAATCAGATTAATTTTATAGCGTAGGTGTGTAATGATTAGAAAAAATCCTACTAGCATGGAAAGTGTAGACTAGACTAAATATTAAGTACCTACTACACTCTCAAGTGTAGCTTTCTAATCTGAAATTATTATCAGAAATTAAAAATCCTAACTCCTCGCCGTACAAAGCTTTAACTTTCTATGTAGTTTAAATAATTGAAATCGTGTAAAACCCAACTGTTTACTTTTTATCCAGATGAAATCGGGTTCGCGATTGCCGACCCGAGGGAAGCATAAATAATGCCAGCCTGGCTACATGCGTGAAATACAAGTCCAACAATCGTATTAACGTTGTAAAAAGGAAAATACTAGGGTACGAGTATTCTGAAATTAAACGTTTTGCACCGCGCGCGAGCTGAATTTGGAAACCCAGCTCAATTAAAGTGCTTTTTATAAAATGAAAAGAAGCTACTTAGAAGTGTGATACATCTATTTTACAGTTTACAGGTTTACTAAGCAGACGCTGGTTGCTGAAACGATTTTGCGTGTGTTGTAAAATTATGTATGATAGACTTCACTAAATATCGTACAATGTATTAAGAGCGCATATCCCAATATACTCGAAAATATCCTACTGACAAACTTAAACAAGAGATTTGTTGCGTTTGACAAAGAGAAATCTAAACTCCACAAATCTACCTACCCGTAATATCACAGTCCATCAACTGACAATACGGGTTACGTGCTATGCAATGGCAGTCATTCATTATTCATTAAACTGATTTGCTAAACTTTTACATAATGTATGAGTGTTACTCTATTATTTGATATCAAGTTATTTATGAAATTTCAATTTAAAGCGATGGCCACCATATACACAACCTGATATTTTCTATTGTATTAAATTGGTCATACATATTATGATAGGTACTTACGACCTATGTATTTGAATCTTTTAACTGTAAATAATTCCAAAATGATCGGTGAGGCCTATTAAAATTACGAAATACGTTAAACGAATGTGCAAACTAATAGCGTATTAGCGTTTATTTTGCAGTTAGCATCAACTTTAATAATTTAACGATTATTTGGTAAGTACAATCGGTTAAACTAAGTAAGTTACACAACATCTCTTCAATATTTAAACGACGCTACAATGGTAGAGTACGGTAGAAACTGCGACGAATGTTGGCTGACCAAACCAACCTACTAAAACAAAGCAAACCCAGCCACTCGGGAAATAAATGAAGTCAGCCAGTTCTTTGAACTCTATTCAATTCTGTACAACGACTTTTTAGGCGCCTCCTAGTCTACTTCAAACATTCATACAAAAGCTCCAGCCCCACTTAGGAAGCCATTGAGGTATTTTTACAGACAAAAGAGGTGGGTACATTACAATTATTAGGTATTCCTTTTATATTATTTCATACAGGGTATTAATAAAAACATAAACAGCTCTAACAACTAATACTGTTTTTTAAAATGCTATTTTGGGTCTTCATCACACATTGTATTGCATATTTTTCCATAGTGTGAAGCATTTTCTTTGTTATGTATCT